TGAGCCATAGTTAAATAATTGTAATTCCTCTTCGGTTCAGCAATATCTTCTTCTAAGTAAATGGAAGAAAATGTGAAGTGCTTGGACAATCTTCACTTGTTTTTCATGCAAAATGGAAAATAATATAAATATTTTCTTACTGTAAAGGGCTATATTTCTATATATACTTTAAATACTTGGAAGCTGTCACTTTGCTTACATGCATTACTTTGTTACCGTAGCCATGGCATAGCAAGCAAACGTTTCCCTGACTCAGAACCGCGGTTGACGTCTAATTCGTCATTAATTGAAGTTGACGACGGAATATATTTCATTCAATGTCATTACATAGTTCTATTTTTTTTTTAAAAAGTACAACGACATATTTTCTTTTACCGTAGAAAAAGAACATACAAAAGGTTAAGAGTGAAATAAAATTTGTGAATATAAATTTATTTCGAAATTATCTAATATTTAACCAAATACATACAAATGAAGTATAGATACGCGGAGGATTTGAAAGTTGACAATTCATGTAAATGTATCCACTAGGTAGCCGTATAACTTGATTTTATGAAACTGACACCACAGTAACATTGACCTTTGACATTAATGACATACTAAATGTGCACGTTATCAATGCACGACTGCCGAAGATGTTTTGTTACAGAAATAAGATCATGCCTCGGACGTCATAGCACGATAAATTTAGACACAATAAACCCCTTACTGTAGTGTTATCATCTGTATTCAACAAAAGGATACTATTTGAAGGCACTGAAGCAAAATTGACTGACACATTTGTGACTCCGGGGATGAAAACGTCCTATCTCACATACACACGTTCATGTAAAAGAGTATTTCCACTCTAATCTTCAAACTTTAGACCCCCTCCCCCCCTCCCCCACCCCCCACCAAAAACAAACAAAAAAACAAAAAAAACTAACATGATTCCGATAAATTAATCTGATAATACTAACACAAGGCACAAATCTCTCTTCCACAACTACTGAAATTAGATTGAATTCGAAGAAAGAATTTCTAGTTTTTGTATCGGACGGGCTGTATCTCTCCGCTGTTGAAATATAGTTCTTTGTTATTAAGAATTATCGATTTCTAACACAATTTTTTTTCATTGGCCTATATAGACTGAAATCTCAGCAGTCAGACACGATTGAAATCAGAAATTATTTTCCAAAGAATCTTGAGTGAGGAAATTATTATACAGTAAAATGAAAGGCTAGAGAGGTATGGCATGTTTTGAAAATTTTCTGGGACCAGCTATGCTTTGCGAGTCGAACTGATGAAGAATTTTCATACCGATACAAAGCGGCAAGACTCTTTTAACTGAACCTATTTTGAGAGAACATAAGATATATAACCATGACCTATCTGTAACACCTTGAACATTTTTTATTGAACTCGGGAAATGTTTTATCTGACATCACAAGTCTTAAGACCCTTTTTGAAACTGTTGAGATTTATAAAATTCTATGTTATCTGAAAGATGTTGGCCTGTATTATAGACTATGACTTACCATTTTTATCTTTTGTGATAATATAATCATTGAACATTTTAAACATTTGTCTTTTACCTTTTAGTTTGTTTGATGTTATTTCCTTTTTGGGTCGCTATGTGTTTCAACGGTTGATGACCCTAATGACCTTTTATGTGTTGACGGGCCATTAAGATAGTGATGATAATAATAAATGAGCAGGTGTTGTGTTTTAGTTTAAGTCTAAAACACAGCTAATCAAAGTTGTGTTAAAAGTAAAGATATAAACACCATTCTTTATTTCCCCCTTGCGGAGATTAGATTAACAAAAGACAAGAAATTCACAAAATTCAAGTGAAAGGTAGAGATTTGAATATATATAATTTGGCTCAGTCATTCAAAGCGAAACCTCCTATTGAAGGGCGTGACCTGTGTCATGGCATCATTTCAAGAAAAATAAGCGTGGGATGCTTGTCGTAGGTATATCACGCACTCTCTGAGAAATTCCTTAGAATTGCGATGGCCCCCCCAAGAGATCTGCGCCAAGCACAGTTTTAAGGAATTGTTCGTTGTCCATGCTGTCTAGGGCAAAGCAATATCCAAGACCAAAAACTCTCCAGAATTTCAATCATGAAGCGCGATCTTAAATCAGCCGTGTGTTCACAACATGTAAACACACGCACAATGACGTCCTCGATTTGGCGCTGACATCTGTGACACACTGACGGCATGCGGTCTGGCACGGTTGTGATAAGTTTGGAGACATGATAAACGTCTCTAGTTTGATGAACATTTGCCGAGACCTTGAACAGCTGTAAAGCGTTGTTCGGATTATGAATACCCTAAAATCTGCTGAAGTCTTGATCAATATCAAGTCGGATCCGGAGTAACGAGTTTTCGCGAGAGAGAACTGCACGGTTCACAACCCTCTTCCATTCAAAGTTTTAATCAGTCATTGTTATATAAATGTATTGCAGATATCTTGATATGTTGGCATTAAATTTTTAAACCTATTTTAACGGATTGGGCACAACGAAGTGCAATATCATATAGACACGTGTGCACATTATAATCACACAGATTAAGAAAAACAAAACAAAAAATGAAATAATCACAATAAATACCATTTTACCAGAACGATCATAAACTAAAAATAAAATTATCAGAAATAAAATAACAACCAAATACAAGATGAAAAGCGTAATTTGACATGAATTAACAAAAAAGTTTTGCTGGATTTGATGTAATTTTGCAAATTTCTGAAACTTAAAGTGTTTGATTCTACTGACAACAACAACAAACAACAAATGTGATTTATTTGGAAGCTTGATTTAAAAAGGATTTCATTTAAATATTTTTTATAAAGTATTTATTTAAATAACAATGCATGTTGGTGATTTGAAAGCAAACAGCTTAGAATCAATTACTCTCCCCGTGAAATATTACAAGCATTACGATTTTTGGCCGAGCACACTAGGATTACGGAGAATATACATATGTATGTACAATTTGGATGGATTACGAAGCAAAACTAACGCCATGAAAAAGATTTAAACATATACATACCAGATTTTTTTAAAAAATTCTGAGCGGGCAGTTTTTATCCATTAATTTTAGAAATAAATTACAATTTTAGTGTTAAAACATATTTATATCCATGATCTCTTTATTGTACACTGAAGTCAATAAAAATGACTTTTTAAATATCCTTTCACTAAATTCGTTCGATTGATCCGTCTAATAGAAAATTTGATTGGACAAATATATATATTTTAAGTCTAATGCATTCACTGTATGGAATCAATATTCAAATCACATTTCTCATGGTTGATTGGAATGGGTAATCCCCAGTTTCACTGGTGCTCCATGTGTCTGTTTAACAAAATGAAGTGCACCACGCATTCCGAATTCTAAGCGATTATTTCCCTTGATCGTGCCGTGTCAGTAAATTCTAATAAAAATAATTCGATTTACACTTCCTGTTGGTATTACTTTTCAGATAAATATGATTTTACCGCTAGAAAATATTGGGTATTGTCCAAACATGTGAACAGCACACATCAACATGGCAAACGTTATCGAGTGTGACACGGAAAAGTTTTTTTCATTTGCGATCACAAACGCTCAGTGGCTACAGTACATAACGTACCGAGACTTATATAAAACATTTTTTTTGATATATGAATCACCATCTTTCATACCACAACTTCCGAAGTTCTTGTCCCTTATAAAGGGCCTTCAGTGTCCATCGACCGAAGATATTATTGACACACCTAAATCTGCACTACCGTTCTCGATTTTAGTCTATAACTTTGTATATATTTTCCATGTATGTGATATAGTTTATGTAGTATTTGTGTCTTCATAAAGGGGCAGATTGCCTCGAAATTTTGACAATTCACATATATATATATATTGCTCCCATTCCGTATTGTCGTACTTTTGAGGTATCGCCATCTTGATTTGTTATTTTTCTAACGTCTAATATAAGTCTAGATACCACTATATATTCACCTTCAAGACAAACCATTCATTTAAGATAAACAAATACACGATACCGGTTCCAGCAACTACCCTGCGGTACTTCCACATTTTATTGACACATCCGTTGCTCACTTTTTGCTGAACGTTCAGTTTTTATTTTCTTCACTGAATTATTCATGAAGATATCTTTCTATTTTTACAGACAAATTTAACAGCGTTTCGTCTTCTTTACAAAGCATGCTATCCAACTGCTTGAGTTAAAAGTAATTTCTCCAATGAACGTTATATTACATAAACAAATATGCCTTTCTGTAAATTACCTGAAGTTAAGGTTTAAAAGGAGAGTTACTTCTTCTGTGAAGTTCTTTATGATCAGTTTCATGAGTGAAACCGAGGCAAAAGAAATCTGGTAGAGATTTTCAGGAATAGCCATTAAGAGGTAACAACTCGTGTCCTCAAGGGTTAATGTATCGTAACAATAACATATCGAATGACGTCATGATTGATATCATTACACGACGTATTGCAAGGGAGATAACACAATGTATTCAATGACGCCTATGAATGGCGCGATAATGGGGGAGGGATGGGGTCTTTATATAACTTATTTTCTATGTCTAGACACTCAGACACAAATATTTTTACGTAGGTTGAAATTCACGTCATTTCTTTTGAGACTCTACGACTGTTACCTTACATTGCGAAGGCCAGGTATGTCCCGAAGGCAGTAATTTTCGTGGTCAGTTGTCCGAATCGCTTTGTATGTACGGCCTAAGGTGTTATAGATAACACAAAAGACAGTCATAGATCTCAAATTAGAATATGTATGCCCTTAACACAATTTCGTCAAAGTAAATTGTGAATTTTACCTGGAGAAATCTTCTTTGATGAACAATTTGTCAAACAGGTGTAAACATTGTCTTTACAAGGACTTAACCAAAACGGCATATCGGAACATGCTCATATCATTTCAACACCAAATAGAGCAACAAGAAGTTTTTTTTCTGTGAAATAATTTCTTGGACACCGGATTTCGTTAAGATGACGTTGAATTACAATTTTGGCTTTGGTAAGACACTTAATGGAGTTGTAACACTTTCTAAAAACAAATACTTCCGTATTTTTATGCTTTTTAATATTGTTTTTTAATAGACGTCGCATTTTTCAATGTTGATAATTTGTTTACTGTTTACATAATTACTGTGACTGTGATGGGACGAACATCATAAAATAAATATCTAATATTTAAGGCGTTTGAACGCAATGTTCGTTCCTAGCGTTGTGGACTTATGCAATGATCAAGCAAAAATATTTCCCACCGCGTAGCATTATAACACAAATTACCATTTTGTATTGTTGTTTGTTTTTCAGCTTCTCCGCAGAAGAAAAGATCCATCATGTTTTGGAGACGAAAACGCCCAGAAAGAGGATTGAAGGTGAGTAAATTAAACTATATTATGAGTAGGACGTAATCAAACATTTGTAAGTAATTAATACTTCAAATTGTAAGAAAAAACTGGTGATTATATTGATATTAGAGATAGCCTTAACAGTGGGCATTATCTTAAAACTCCAGATTATCTTAATGTTACAGATTATTTTAACACTGGAGATAATCTTATCACTGAAGTTTATCCTAACATTGGAGATAATCTTAAAACTCGAATTTATCTTATCACTACATATTGTCTGTACACTGGAAGTCATCTTAACGTGTGATTATCTTAACACTCGTGATTATCTTAACACTCGTGATTATCTTAACGTGTGATTATCTTAACACTCGTGATTATCTTAACACTCGTGATTATCTTAACACTCGTGATTATCTTAACACTCGTGATTATCTTAACACTCGTGGTTATCTTAACACTCGTGATTATCTTAAAACTAGATATTATCTCACTTTGGAATTTTTAACACTGGAGATCATCTTAAATCTGATCACTGAATATTGTATTAACACAGGATATAATATAATTTTAGCACTGGAGATTATCTTTATACTACAGATAATCTTTACACTGGAGCTTACCTTAAAACAACAGATAACCTTAACACCACATATTATCTTAACACTACATTTTATTTTATATCACAGACAATCTTATCACCACAGATTACCTTAAGACCACAGATTACCTTAACAACACAGATTACCTTAACAACACAGATTATCTTAACACCACAGATTATCTTAACAACACAGATTATCTTAACACCACAGATTATCTTACATGAATAAGAGAATTTACTAATATTATCCAATGACAAGCCGAAGTACCATACCAACCTGTATATTCTGGACCGAACAGCTGAAAATCATGTGCATTGGGTTGATATTTTGATATCTATGTATAAATGGACGTATATGGACGTAAATAAGACGTTTGACTGAACCCTTGTTTTTTCTGAGTTCATCCTCCTCTCACCATTTAACTTATTTAAAACAACATATAATTGGCCTTTCAATGTTTCATACAAGGTTTTTCTGGTGTTGAACATATGCTAAAGTTCAGTGAACACCTCGTCAATACGGAATATGAAAACGATATGGTCATATCATAACATCTTTGAGTAAACTTTAATGGACGATTTCGAAAATGATCATTGGATAAGAATGGTTGCCGTTTTATAGAGTTTCTCAAGAAATCAACATATCTCAAATGATTTAACTACATAAGTAAAGTCAATAATATAACTACGTCATTTTTTGGCATAATACTCCTGATTTTACGTAACAACGTTGTTTTGTAACAGCATTTAAAAAAAAAAATAAAATACGAAAACAAAACATGTCTATTGCCCGAAATTGAATGTTAAAAAATGAATTAGAATTTCCATTCGAATTAAAATTTTTAGACGTTTTAATTGACGTTGATTCACAGATCAGTCGATCTTTACACACATTTATGTTGCTACTGATCTGTATTGATTGACAGGCGTTGGCGGAAGGTGGTTTAGCGTTTGCTAGGACGTACTCAAACATCTTAGCCCAGACCGAATCACAACTAGAAGATGCCATACAGAGAGAAAATCGCAAACCCAAATCTACGATTGGCAAGTATGTACAGCACACATTTTCATAGTCGTCTGCTGGTATGCAGAGAAAGTTTCGGTAAAAAAAACCATCTGCTGGTTTGCAGGCATATTTTCGTAATTTTGTATTTGGCCTTTTTCACTGTATTTTATGTAATTCACGTGTTTTTCTTTTGTGTTTTGTGTTTTTCATTTTGTGAAAATTATCTATAATATGTTTGTTATTAGTTTTTGTATCTATTAATATATTTACAGAGTGCGGATGAAAGGTGAGAAGGTCATTCACAGTAAACAGGTGCTTCTATGTATCGTCCTTCTAAACATACTCGACTGTATCCTAGTGCTAGGCGAGCTAATCCTCGATATATACTATCTCAAAGGTAAGTTTGGCTTTCTCTTTGACTTATTTTTTGTTTCGTTTATTTCTTTTTTCGTTTGTTTGGGTTTGTTTTCATTTTCATAAGATCGATTTGATTTAAAACATTTTATTGTCAAAAAGACAAAGAGGTGTAAGAAAGAAGTTCTGATATGAAACGCATGGACATAAAAATAAACATTCATGCATATACATAGAAATGCAGATTTATCTTATAAAAATTAAATTTATCAAAAAAAAAAAAAAAATGATAGAAAGTGAGATAGAGAAAAAACAGAAATTTTACTGATAGAAATCTTTCTATTTACAGGAGTTCTGGAGAAAGCCGAACACAACGAGCTGAACTTTGTTATACACATGAAACAGATATATCCTGATTATCTTGCTCCACTACAAACCACTGACATCAGCGATCTTTATAGAGCAGTACTTGATGCTAAAATCGAATGGGGTCAAGGGTCACACAACTCTCGTGTAACCGACACGTCGCATGGCACCGGAAGTAACGCTCTCACAACCACCACCATGGTTCCGAATGACATTCATAACGCCACAACCCTTTCTTACAACGCCACAACCTTATCCAACCATGGTACAACAATGTCTTACAGCACTACAACCATTCCGTATAATGGTACAACCCTATCGGACAATAGTACGACCCCAATAGTGAGGCGAAAAAGGGCGGCAACTTCAGGTAGTCATGGCAACACTATATATGGAAACGGTTCAGCTCACCACGAGCACCACGAGCATGGACATTCGATTGAAGAAGATATTGCGCATGGTTTCCACAAAGCTAGCATTGCAATATTGGCAATTTTAGTCGTAGAGGTAAGTAACTTTTGATATATCTTAGCTTGGGGGGCCTGGGCCTCAGATTTAAACATGACCCTTCAATCCCCCCACCCCTCCCTTTTTTCAATTTTACGTAAGATTGATAACCTTAATGACATTGACTTAAATTGATCGCAGGTGCAAGATTTTCCAAGTTGATTTAACGACTTGCAATAAGTGAATCAAATCTAGTAATTACAGTTGGGTATGAATGGAAATAAAATTACCGACAAACATTATCAATATTACTTCTGTAGAATGGAGCCATTTCCGATAAATTTAGGTGATTTTAGCATTTACCATCTTTTCTATGAAGTTTACCCTTATTTTTCAGACAATGATGAAGGTATTATTTCTAGGAAAAGAACTACTAGAAAGAAAATTAGAGGTAAGAAACTATCCCTGTAGGATATATTGATCATACTGACCTGTCCAATCTGACATCATGTGACACTTAGCGTATTGGTCAAATTAAGCTATCTAATTTGAAACTCTCTTGGGCACAACATATTGGACCGATTAACCTGTGTAATTTGACACCCTGTGATACACAACATTTTAGCCACATTCACCTGTGCAATCTGACTCTCTGTGGTACATAACATATTGGTGAGATCAACCTGTCTAATCTGACATCGTGTGAGACACACCATTTAAACTACATTAACCTGTGCAACACAACATATTGGTTTGAATAACCTGTTTAATCTGACACCATGTGGAACACAACCTATTTGACTGCTTAACATGTCTAATCTGACACTCAGTTGAACACAACATATTGGTTTGAATAACCTGTTTAATCTGACACCATGTGGAACACAACCTATTTGAACACAACTGACACTCAGTTGAACACAACATATTGGTTTGAATAACCTGTTTAATCTGATGTGGAACACAACCTATGTGTTAACATGTCTAATCTGACACTCAGTTGAACACAACATATTGGTTTGAATAACCTGCTTAATCTGACACCATGTGGAACACAACCTATTTGACTGCTTAACATGTCTAATCTGACACCCTGTGGAACACAACATATTGGTTTGAATAACCTGTTTAATCTGACACCATGTGGAATACAACCTATTTGACTGCTTAACACGTCTAATCTGACAGCCAGTTGAACACAACATATAGGTTTGATTAACATGTCTTATCTGACATACAGTGTGACAGAGCACATTTAGGCCAGAGTAAACAGGATGTCAGAATAAACAGTCACGTGAGGAGTGGACTCTTTAATCAAATGGAAGAATCGCTTTTCCTTAGACTGATAATTCTGTATTAAAAACGGTTTATGTGATACCATTCCATACTGATTTATTGTATTGAAAGTTTTCTGTATACGTAACACGAGTAATTATGTTCTACATCTCGGTTATCCAGTGTCTGTGATATGAAACATTCTGACGTTGTCCTCCATATTTTTCAGATGTTTGACGGGTTCATCGTAGTCGCCTCCTTTATCGTCGATATCGTCTTCCTGAAAGGAATGAGTGGGATGCACGTCCGCGAAATGGTGGTCATATTGGCTTTTCTGGTTCCACACAGTGGTATATTTACAGACAAATATTATATCATATAGTGGCACTGTAACACGTATATAATACGTAATATATCCTGACACAGTATATTTACAGATATTATATCAATACCATGCTCTATGTTCGATTTATCGACATATGTCCCCATATTTCGACTAATCGTGCCATATCGCCAAAGCCACTGTGGAGCTAAATGTCAGTATGGCGAAGTATGACCCATTGTCAGTTACTGGACTACCTGTGATGCTTCTAGCGTTTACGTGTTTAAGATTTAAACAAAACTCTATTAAAGGACATATGATAAACATGGTGTGGTAGACAAATTTTAGTTTATACAACGTTAGGAAATGACCTAGCTTTGTTTTAAGGTTCTGACCTCTATAACTAATTCCTAAATTTTACCTCAGTTTGACATCTGTGATTAACGTAAAATTTCGTCTCTGTGTTTTACCACAATACTTGACCTTTGAATGACGTAAGTATTTAATCTTTAGTTGATTCCAGTATGTGACCCCAGTATTTGTCCTTTGAATAACCTGTATATTTAATCTTCGTTTTGACTTCTGTATTTGACCCTTTTCCTTGACCTTCATATTGTCTCCGTGTTTGACTTTTGTTTGAACTGTACATTTAGTTTCTATGGTTGACCTTAGTATTTTACCTTTAACCTCTACCTTTGACCTTTGCCACTGACCTCAATATTTGACTATTGTCTGACCTATGTTTTTGACTTTTGTCTTGTCTCTGTTTTTGATATCTGTTATTGACAACTAACCTGACCTTTGGTTGACCCCGCTTTTTAAATTCCTCTTTCAGGTTTGGTTGTAGCTGTTATTGATCATGAGCATTTCCGGATGAAATTGTTATATAAACAGAAGAAGGCGGTATCAACAGACTTGAAGAAAGCCAAGGCCGAAAATAAATCCCTAACGGTAATAAGCAGTGCCCAAAATCTTTTAATCTCCTATATCCCTTGTTGAACAAATACACGTTTGAAGTAAATAACGACATTGATTACGTCATTCAGATATTTTTTTCAGCGTAATCACGTAAATGACGTCACAATGAATAATCTAATGATAAACCCCTTGATCATACTTGTAGGACCTCCCCCGTTTGTTTTTGTTTTTTGCTGTTGTTTTCTGATGTTGTTGTTTACGATGGTGTTGTATCCACAGGCGGCGTTAGAAATGGTTAAGAAGTTAGCTGTTGGAGCTGGCCTGTCAGCGGACGATATTGACAAACGTTTGGGTAAGTTTTTTCTCTCTTTTAATCAATATTATTGATATCAAGGAAACGTTAATTCGTCAGATTTCACAGCTCACCTTTTGTGGTAAATTGAAAATGAAGCCACATGACCTCTACAAATGTGGAACTGAAACAGGAAAGGGGGATTTCGAACTGATTCCATTACATTGTAAAAGAGAGAAAAAGACAGGCAAAAAGAGGAAGAGAAGGATAGAGAAAGAGGTGTGGGAGGGGATGGAACGGAAGGGAGGGAGGGACGGACAGGGCTTTCTTGTTTGAAGTAAAGGTTTTGAACGTCAGTATTTTCGCTTTGTACAGCTTTCATTAGTGTCGGAGTCGGGGCAAAAAAGAAGAAAAGTTCGTCCATTTCAAGCTTTCACCATGGACTAGGTTCCAGTAAAAAGAAGAATTCTTCATCTGTCTCCAGCGAGTTGAAGCTCTCAGTGGCGTCCATTCAGGAGAATGTAGAAGACGATGTGTTTGCCAAAGACGACAAAAAGGACCAAAATACCAATTCTCGAGTCTAGGAACACAGGAAGTGCAGCAAACATTTGGTTCCGTCAAACCTTCAGGAATTGATCTGATAGTTTTGTCGGTCATATATTGCTAATAATATGTAGACTTGCCATTGAGACAATACAAGGTGTTATGATACATTGTCAGCATCTCAAAATCAGAGAAGAGAAATGACGACTTCGACGATACTTTTTAATCTCTCTATCTCGAGTCAAAATACAGATAGTATTTTTAGACATTGACAACTTATTCTATTAACCCCTGCAATATACATTGAAAATTTGCAATAGAAAAACTTCCATGTACTGGGAATTTACAAGAGTTGTCTCCCTTGGACTGTGAAACGCAGGTATATGTCCGTTTTGACGAGGTTTTGTCACATATTTTTCCAATACAAACACAATTCCTCAGAAACCAAACTTTGCAATTATGATGTATGATTTTATAGATATATTCCTTGATTTTTGAAACATTGTACAACTCGATGTATGCCTACACATACGGTTAATATTGGTTGAATATGTTATTTTTAGAAACATGAGCTTTGCATAGCGCATATATGAAATAATTTTAAATGTTCCTAACTATTCATATTCTAAATATTGGAAATAGAAAGAAACAGTAAGAAGGAACGAAGACATCAGAAGATGCACATGACGTGATAAAAAAGAAGAAAAAAATATCGAATGAACGAGCATCGTTTAATGTAATGTCTTACGTATCGTAAGTGACGGGAAAGTAATTGTAAACACGATACCGATTCTACTCGAAAATGTTTGCATCAGTGTGTATGTTAACGTGTTTTAATGGATATTTAAATGCAGTTGGTATGTTAATTCTTATAAAAAAAACGTACCATCTCCTTCCATATCAGCAATATACACATGAATGTATATACTCATATTTCGTCTCTTATATTTTACTGAAATCCCTTTCTGACAAACAGTAGTTAAACATTGATCAAAACACAAGACTAGACAGCAATAATAATGAATTGTCGCTTGTTTATATATTTATCATTGTTCTAATATTATTGTTTTAATGATTGAACTATTTTCCCAAACCGAATATTATAAAGTAAATTCCGAAAAAAAAAAAAAAAAAAAAAAAAAAAAAAAAAAAAAAAAAAAAAAAAAAAAAAAAAAAAAAAAAAACAACTGCTGTGTGTTTGTTTGATAGCAAACACTAAATCGACATTTCCACTAAAATTCGTTTCATTATCAATGAAATTGTTCTTGAATTATTAATCACTGGTGTTGTTTACAAAGCAGGAGAGGCTCACCACTTCCGTAACCTCTACTGTCGGTATGCTGTTCTAATTCTAGGATTAGATCACTTATATTATGACTTATTACAAAATTTGGTTATAGGACCTTTAATGTTTAAAGTGTAACAGATTTGTCCAACCGAGAGTCAAAGTTAATGGTTAGAAATTAGCAAGATGTTTCGTTATATCAATGTTCATCATGTTGTACGCTCGTGATTTCTGTATCAGGAAGTGTTTGAGACGATTAGCGTTAACGAAACAGACTTAATCCTGTTGTACTATAATCAATGTTTATAAGTCCTGTCTTTTTTTACGACGATTTACGACGATCAACTTTCGCGAAAATCGCAAAAATAAACCGTACGCGAGAAAACGTCGGATTTCAGTAATGCTGATCATTAATGTTAAAATGTTAAACCGATTTAGGAAGACCGCACTGTTGCCACGATCCAAACCGATTTTGTTTTCATCACTAGGCAACTGTTTTATGTGTTTGTGCAAAAACTTTGTTCCAGCGTCTGTTTCTGTGGATGATTTTTGTATATAATACACAGAATTTACATGCTTAAATTTGTAGATGTATGTTTACAAGTAATATGTATGGCTTCCAAACTTCCAATCTTTGTTTTGTATAATGTTTATTTTGATATCATATATATTTTTATGTACTGATTTTTTGTTACATATTTCATTGGGATTTATGACAAAGAGAATAATAATCATTTGAAATATATTTGTAGTTTCGTTTTTAATGTTGGACACAATAGTTTATTTCAAAAATCACCATTTCCCCCCTCAGAATTGATTATTTTACGTTTTATATTTAAAGCTAAGAGTTCTATCAATTGTTTTTCCAAAGCAAACAAATTGGTGGTTACTTCAAAGAAAATACAATCGAGAGGCCCGTCGCATCAGAGCTATTCCAGTGTTTTACCAATGATCACAATCTTATCAGCGCAAACCGGCCCCTTTCTCTGTCGCTTCCTTCCCCTGGCACGGAAGACATACTCTTAGGGTTCTCATGACCTTCAGAATACATAAAAAGAATTTTAGATTTACATTTGTTGGTGTAAAATAGCTTTCATCCATAGAGGTCTTTTTGAAAATGTGAAGGTTTTGCAGAACACTAAGGTTTCCCCAAAGTGATATCGGCTGGCCTGGTCGGATGAAAGTTCTTTTTCCTCTTTTCCAACAACGAAACCAACTTTCCACCAAGCTGCATGATAAGTTAGATAATTTTAATTTCGCTATTGTGAATTTTCCATTTCTGGATGGCAATAATCCTGCGTCCCTACCCATGGTGTTTACAAGTTGCAGTTTATTATATGTTCACAAGTCGTAACACAGGGTTTCAGAAGATGCATGTTAATTCAGGAATCTCCGTGTAAAACTTTTTTTTTTTTGTTCACGTTTTGCCATAGTTTTGTTGACTTTAAGTTTGGATTAAGATTATGTTGACATGTTGGTATTTTCTTGTTTTCTTTTTCAACCATACAAAATATGTAGGTCACGGTGAAACACATTAATTGCAGATAGCTTTAAAATATATTGCTACTGTGACAGGCCTATATGGATTTGTCTTATGGGAAAAGCCCTCTGTTACGTTTCGTTATGTTTTCTTTCTGTCGTATTATCGATTGTATCATCTGCGTTTGTGTAATTGGTTGAAGTGAAATATACATCCGACTTGAGCGAGTGTATATCCTCTCTGTGGGCTCCCTCTACCGGAGTTTGAAATACCAGACGTCGAATTGTTAACCCATCAGGATGTGCATTTCATGAATAATCTAGCCAGTTTTTTCTATAATGTCGACAATCACTTCGTTTTTTCAGTTAAACTATCTGACATTTCGTTCCGTACAATGTTGGAATGGACAGATTCCTTTATTTTATTTTCAAATATACGCATGACACATACAAAGTCCAGCGATTACATTGATTTATAATAGTTACTGATGAGAACAAACATACACGTGCTGCAATTCACCCAGCTATTAAAAGTAAACCACAAATGTACAAGTCCAATTAGATTCAACAAAGCTTAACGAAAGACAAAGATGGCGTCACATTAATTTTTATCAAACCCTTTAGCATAAATTTCTGATTGTCTGATCTGTCAAGTTGTTCACTACAGAAACTAGTCAAATTAAAGTTCTTACCAATATGAACCAAAGCGATTTCTTAAGGTTCGATTAGAATTTAAAGAAATGTGTCTATAACGCGACACATGACTGGAGCACACAAAAACAAACCAAGAGTACTTTCCGCTTAATATCATTAAATTACTAAAAAGTAAATGGATTTTCCTGACACTTCTGCTTAAATCATTTCCCGAAAGCTAATCTACGGAAGCTGTGTGATTGACAGAGCATACAGGAGAGAAAAAAATTAGTTTAGTTTCCATAATGGAATATACTAGTTTGCAATTTACTGGAGTTTTCTGTTTCTCTGTAAACTATGATGTCGTTTGACAGACAGGGGGCTGATTAATACCGCAGCGTAATCCCTTTCTTCAGATGTTGTTTTAAAAGCTCAGACAAGAATTTAAAGAATTTTTATGATACTACAAAACACAATTGAGGTATGCTAGGTCAAGTTATTTAATTCCAACACTGACTGTTTTTACAGCTCGTTATTATATCATGTTTTTCTTCAACCTGTGAAAGTTTTATAACCCTAAGAGTTTATAAAAAATTTCTGAACCAGATTCGCTCTGAAGTAATTTATCATTTTTATGTGTGACGCGTAAACAAAGCAACAACAAAAATCTTTACAACTATTACTATTTCGAAGCGATCTCCATTTCCTTGTATTATTTCTGAAGAATGTTGAATCTTAAATTTTCAAGGTGGAAGGAACGAACTCTTAATGTGATAGGAATGTGTTGCGTCACTAAACATCTGCAACTCAAATGAAATTTGAAAAAAAATCTACAATATATATATACAGGCAGACATTTTAAAGACCGGGTCTGAAATAAAAACATCTTCTGTGGGATTACACATTTCACACAATGAGTTAAATGCTCAAGATAAACTGGTTGGTAATATTGGATCAGTCGAACGCTTCTCATTTACATTGAATCATTGTACCTTACAAACGCTTTTTCGACCAAGATCTTTGGGTATATATGTCCGCCTGCTTGCACTTAAATGACGAGAAACATTCATTGCTCGTGACCAGCAAACTTCATAAATTTGTCTGGACAAATGAAACGTGCTGGAATTACTGGTGCATACTTTACCAAGCGTCGTAATTACTTTGTAATCAGTGTATCAGTTGTTGGACGGAAGAGATCGTTCACTTCAAGTTTAATCACTCACCGAAGTAATAGCCGAAAGGAATGGCATTTTATGGTCATTTCACACGAGCGTTGGTGTGATTGGCTTTGCTGTGGACACTAAGTGACCATTTGGACATCTGAGTAGTCACATGTGTCAAATTATTTTAGACATTTTACTTCATGAGAGAAACATCATCAGTAAGTGATCTTCCACTTATGACGTTAGCGGACATAAGAATATCGCGATGACGAAAAGGTAGAACACGAAAAGTTCTTGACTCTCGCTGCATACGGTTGTATTGTTGAAGACTAATGGTTGATTCTCAAGGTTACTAATGTTTGCGTACACCTCCGGTCAGTTTCCCTAATGGTCATTATTCGGCCACTTTGGGATTGAATGGTGATTGCCTATCTACTTGACCTCCAAATGTGTTAGGCCAGTCCTATACCACTACACCACG